TCAAGCAAAAGTTTATTTTCCTATTGGAGGCAGGCACTGGCAGTGTTATTGGTGGCCTGAACTGAGGGAACAGGCCCCGCTGCTGACAAAATTCTATTTAAAGCACTAGTTTTAATCCCTCCCAATCCTTCCTGTTGTCCATGCACCTGGTACTGCCCTTTTAAGAGTTCTTGCAACGGCTCAACCACCTTAAACTTCAGTCATGTGATTGTGGGTTGATTGTCACGTGATTGATTTAGATAAAATCAGCGCACACTCACTTCCTGTCACATGATCAAGTCGGTTTGTACGCATTGCAAGGACTCTCAAAAGGGCAGTACCACCACTGAGTGCAGACATAATAAGCTATTAATACATCAGTATTTGATTAATAGTTAATTGTAACTGTGGGCTCTTTGTAATGGACAGCAGTTACAGCAAGTATGAACCAGTTGAACCATTTTAATGAGTATTGATTTACTCAGACTTTTAGGTGAAAACTAAAAGTAGGAACCATCTATGGGTCCCTGTATGAACTTAAATAATCTACCAACAATACTAGCCACCTGTGATAATAACATTGTGTAGTCAGGGGCGTAGCTGGGAAGGAAATGATGAGAGGGCATAGTGAAAAATGGCGCGCAAAGCGCGCCAAAAATTTGGCCACACCCCTTTTTAGCGTTCGTATAGTGCACTAAAATAGCATTTTATGTATTTTAAAAGCATCAAAATCTTACATTTTCAACAATGATTAATGTAAAATGAGTGTTTTGTTTCTCTCTACTTCTCATTTCTTGTACATTTACTGCTGTGCAATGTATTATAAATGATTACAAGGTGGTTAATTTATATTACTAGGTGGTAGGTAATAAAACAAACAATGAATATCATTATCTACAACAATTGATGGGGGGGCCCAGGCCCCTGTAGGCCCCCCCTCAGATACGCCCCTGTGTGTAGTGCCGCTATACTACTGCATGGGCATCCTCCAAATCAATAGTCTCACCCAGACCATTCCCCAGCCTACAGTCATTGGGGTGGATGGCACCCCAATGACTGTAGGCTGGGGAATGGTCTGGCTGGCGAGACTACCCAGCCCCTTCATGCACTCAGTACCAAATCAAGTAATCTTAACTAACACACAATAATACTTACTGGAGTTTCATTAGTAGCCATTCCAAGTTAAAGATCTAGAGAGTAAGTCACGTTTTACAATAGAGGTCTTTCCAAGTTTTGAGTAAACCTGACAAAGCGTCTTTTTTAGAGACAATTCTTCTGATGATAAAGCTCATTTTTATAGACGCTGCTTTAAGTAGGTGTGGCCTACCCACGTGAATACACGTGTGTCA